GTGAGCTGAAGACTGAAAACTTGGAATTTCATGTTAGCTTGAGCTACAAACTGAGACCTAGCTGGAAAACACCAAAGCAAATAAAAACAAAAGCTTAAGAGCTGTGACTACAGATAAGTTATACACATAGAATTGCTAGCCTAGAATGCAAGGGCCCTGGTCTTCCCCCCATAAAAGCAGGCATGGTGGCCCGTGTCTGTCATCGCAGCAGCAGGAGGCGGGGATTGAACCCAGGGCCATGTGCACACTAGGCAAGAGCCCCACAGTGAGGATACCCCTCCAAGCCTGGAACTCGTCTTTGGGGTTAAGAAGACTTGACCAGGGCCGAGGGTGCAGCTCAGTTGGCAGAGTGCTTAGCCCTAGGTCTAATTCTCTTCACTGTTTACAGATCAGACCTGGCGGTGGATGCCTGTGACCCCAGCTCTCAGGAATCTAAGTAAGAGCTCAGAAGCTCAAGGTCATCCTCAGCTACATGATGAGTACAGCATCAGCCTGGGTGTACAAGACAACAGTAACAACATGTACCCATCCTTCCCTCTCTGGCTTCCTTTCCAGGGCGGGAAGGAGACAGCCAAATGTGTTTTCTAATTGGCAGGAGTTGCAGGGATGGGGGGAAGTACCTTAAAAGAAGCCACTCCTGGGTCAGAGATGGCTGGTACGTGCTGCCCAGTGCCATAGCCCGCGTAGCTTATCACCCATGGCTCGTGGAAGGTCACCCACAGCTTTACACGGTCCCCGAAAGCGGAGAAGCAGAAGGCTGCGTAGTCCAGGAAGGCGTCCACCACACTCTCGTTCTGCCACCCGCCGTGATCCTGCAGGGCCTGAGGCAGGTCCCAGTGGAACAGTGTCACCATGGGCTCGATGTGCGAGTCCAGCAGGCTGTCGATCAGTCTGTTGTAGTAGGCCACGCCCTGGAGGTTGGGGCTGCTCTTCCGCCCCGTGGAGAACAGCCGGGACCAGGAGATGGAGAATTTGTACACCCCAGCCCTGAGGCCCCGGAGCAGGGCGACATCAGAGACCGGTTTGTGGTAGCTGTCACTGGCCACCTTTGCCGTCGCTTGGCCCTCGGCAGCATTCAGGTTACTGTAGTGGTCCCAGATGCTCGGGCCTCTGTTGCCTTCGGCCCATCCTCCTTCCACGTTAAAGGCTCCGGTAGATACGCCCCAGAGGAACCCTTCTGGAAACACATCCTGCAGGAAGGCATCCCTTTCCTCCCTAGACTGCTTGGCAAAGGCTGCCCAGACTCTCTGGTAGGCTGATGCAAGGGGAGGGGGCGCAACAGCTCTCTCCTGCTCCTGCTCAGTCGGAAAGGCCAGGCTGTCAGTCAGAGAGCAAGCCGGACTGTGGGGTGGAAGGGACATAAGGGGACGTAATTAATGACTGAGTTACAAACGCCCCACAGGGTCAGGCGTGGTGGCGCATGCCCTTAATCTCAGCACCCAGGAGGCAGAGGCAGGAGGATCTTTGTGAATGTGAGGCCAGCCTGGTCTACAGAGTGAGTTCCAGGACAGCCATGGTTACACAGGGAAACCTTAAGAAGAAGAAAGGAGGAGAAAAGAAGGAAGGAAGAAAAGAAGGGAGGGAGGGAGGGAGGGGCAGAATGAGGAAGAGAAGGACCAGGAGGAGGAGGGCCACCTCTGGCCACCTCTGGAGAAGGGCCAGCGCGGGGGTGACAAGTGTGTACCACCATTCTTGGCTTTTTATACTTGTTCTGTGGGTGCTCAGGCCCCCGTGCTGACAGAGAAGGCTCTTTGCAGACCGCATGACCTCTCCAGCCCAAACTGCTCTTGTAACTTTTTCAAGTAAGGACTCTTTGGAGCATGGCTCTGCTCTACACTGGCTTCCTGACGGTGCTGGGCTTCGGGGGAGGTGTTCCACATCTCACACTGAAGACCTGTGGTCGGGAACTTACTTCACGGAGCTCCCGTGGGCTGCTCAGATCTACAGCTAAACTGCTTTCTCTTCTTCCTTCCCTCTAAAAACATTATTATATTTATTTCCTTTTTAAGTTTCACTATTTGTTGTGGTGGTTGTTGTATATGGACAACTTCATGGAGTCCCTTGTCTTCCTCTGCCTTGACATGGGACCTGGGGGTGGAAGTAGGGTCACCAGGCTTGCGTGGTAAGCTGTTCAGTTTGTTGTCAACTCGACACCAAGCTAGGGTCATCTGAGAAGAGGAAACCTTGACTGAGAAAAACGCTTAGGTCAGACTGGCCTGTACACAAGTCTGTAGGCATTTTCTTGACTTAATGATGGAGGCGGGAGAGCCCCGCCCACTGTGGGTAGTATGACCCCTGGGCCTGAGCTGTACAAGAAAGCAGGCTGGAGCTGGAGAGGTAAGATGGCTCAGAGGTTGAGAACACTGGCTGCTTTCCCAGAGGTCCTGAGTTCAATTCCTAGCATCCACATGTTGGCTCATCGAAGTCTACATCTGTAGTTCCAAGGAATACAGTGCCCTCTTCTGGTGTGCATACATGTAGACAAAACACCCAAATATATAAAATAAATTAGTAAAATAATAAACCTTTAACAAAGAAAGAGGGCTAAACAAGCCAGGAAAAGCAAACAAGCAAGCAGCATTCCCCACGGCCTCTGCTTCAACTCCTGCCTTGAGTCCCTCCATGAAATCAGCTCTTTCCTCCCTGAGTTGGTTTGGTCAGTGTTTTATCACAGCAACAGAGACAACTAGAACACAAGGCAGAAGTCTTCACCCTCGGAGTCAACAGCCACCCAGCCATCTTACCTATTTATTTATCTAGGGACTCTGTGTGTGGGGGTGTGCACATGACGTGTGTGTGGAGGTAGGAAGACAATTTGTGGGTGTCAGTTGTCTCCTTCCAACATGTGAGCCTGAGGGACCGAACTCAGGTCATCAGGCTTGGCTGCAGGTGCCTTTACCTGCTGAACCATCCAGCTGGCCCAAGAACTAGCTTTCTCTGCCACATATAGACAGTATCTTAAATCTCAGCTCTGCTAAATATGTAGACCTGGGAGAATGTGACAGTGAGGAAGCCAGACTGTGTTGGACCCAGGTACATCTCAATGAGGAACTGCTTCTCCAGCCTTCCCTCCGAGCCTCCATCTCTCAGCTGTTAAATGACTAGAACCTATTTGCTGCTCCAAGAGGCAAAGACAGGCCTGAGAGAGGGCTCAGCAGTTAAGACTGTTTATTGCTGCTGCAGAAGGCCTGGGTTTAGTTCCCAGCACTCACATGAGAAATCAGGTTCCATGGGAACTGACAAGCTATTCTGATCTCTGCGGGTTTACTTAGACAGGTGGTGCACATACATACACACTCAGGCTTTCATATGCATGTGCGCACATGTGCACACACACACATCAAACAAACAAAAACACCAAGAGACAAGCACAATGGTCCCCAGTGACTGTCCACGTAAACAACAGCAGAGCCCATACTACCGGTTCCTTAGAGTTAACTGTGCAAGCCAACATTACCTCTCCTCAGAACTGGATGGACAGCTCAGGAATGCACTGACGTCGAACCCAACAGTCTGCACTTGGTCTTTATTGATGGCTGTAAGAAAAGCAGCTTGGTTGACTGTGTGTGGGGCTCAAGCACACACATGCAATCAGCAGTGTGCCTCACTCTAAAACCCACCCACACCCCAAGCGATGACTCTAAGCCCTTCTGAAAATGCCATGGATGTGTCTGGCCTGCTTAAACACTAGAATGTTGGTCCTCACTTTTCAGGGTGAATACCAATCACCTAGACACTTCCGAAGAGAGCTGGACCACCCTGCAGTCTTGGACACAGGGGGTCTCAGGGCAATCAGGAGTAGGCATGTATTCCCCCCACCCTTTTGGTCTTTTGTTTTTGTTTTATGAGACAGTTTTTTGAGTTTCCCTTTGTAACCCTGGCTGTCCTGGAACTCGCTCTGTAGAACAGGCTGGCCTTGAACTCACAGAGATCCGCCTGCCTCTCCCTTCCGAGTGCTGGGATTAAAAGTGTGGGCCAACACCACTTGGCTGGAAAATTTTTGAAAAAGAAGGCTGGGGAGTTAATTGGTAAGGTGCCTTCCAGGTAAACATGAGGGCCTAAGCTCAAGCTCCAGATCTACACAAAAAGCTGGGCTGGGGTAGGAGAGATGACTGGTTAAGGAGCAGACTGTCCTTCTAGAAGACCTGAGTTCAGGTCCCAGCACCCTCTGCAGGTGGCTCCCAACTGCTTGTAACTCCATTTCCAGGGCATCCAACACCCTCTTCTGTCCTCCTCACGCACCTTTACCAATATGTACACATATGCACACGCACGCACACACACACACACACACACACACACACACACACACACACACGCATACACCAAAAAGACTAGCCTTCAGTTCAAGGCCTAGCTGGGCTACATAGTGAGTTCTAGAACAGCAGGTCCTACACCTAGACATTTTTAGCATCTTAGGTGCCAGTGGGGCTACCCAGAACAGGGTATGTTTCCATGCTGACAGTTTCCATCAAAGGCCTGAAGGTTTTCCTGTCCATATTGGGCATCTTTGGCATCTGTACAGAAACTCTCAGTGTCTTTGGACAGGAAGAGCTCATTGCCAGGGAAGGCAGAGAGGGGACTTTAGGCAGAGAGGGGACTTTAGCCTCATTCTATAGACTCTCAGTCCAGCCATTTTCCTAGGCCCCCCCCTCATGAGAACCCTGATTTCAGTATTGCTACCCAACACGCCAGTGCACCAAATGTCACTCAACATGAGTCACATGCTGGTCCACTCACCTTCAATCAGGCTGAAGAGCAGGGAGGAGGGACTCTTCCCTGTGGATGGGCAGTCCTGAAGTTTTAGGGTATAAACGAAAACTTTCATTCTGGGCTCAATGTTCTAGAAAAGATAAAGACCAACAAGTGTGTCCTTAGTAACAGGAACAGGTGAGGTGCTACATGTTCACCTTTTAGAAATGACCTCCAGCCATCCCACTTATTGAGGGCAGTGACTCGGACTCTGAGGAAGAAAGACACTCACTATTCAGTGACCATTGGCCACCAACCCTTCCAAAATGAAGCGGTACCCACACCAGTTCATTTTAGATGGCGCACCTCATAAGCCAGCAACAATATTAGGGTTGAGAGCTAAGTTTCCGCTGGTGTCAGGAGCCTGCACTATCTAAAAAGTTTAACCAAGATGCCACATCACCATGTTCATGAGCATCTGTGGTTTGCTTAAAAAGCATCCTGGTTTGTGAGGCTGAGAATGTGTTTGGTGGGCAGAGTGTTTGTCTAGAATGTGTAAAGCCCTGGCTTCCATCCAGGTTTATGACACACTTTGGAAAGGAGAATTGATGCCAACAGGCAGACACGCTGGCTAGGAGAACAAGCTTTCCATGTCTCCACTGTCCTTTCTACTTGCGATTTGTTTCCAACTTTCTATAACCAAAAGTCAAAGACCTAGAGAGACGCCTTGTGACTAAGAGACCGACCTTACAATCAGGAGTTCGGATCCTGTGTAACAGCAGGGCCTCACACAAAGGCCGGGTCACTCCAGCTCTCTTCCAGCCTCTGTGCACACAGGCAATACCTTTCCCTCCCAGCAGGGGGCACATACATTTGCACAACTATGTATACATTCACACAAAAACATACACACAGAAATTGTTCTTAAAAGTGGAGATCTCAGCATGTGTGATTGATTTCCTTCTATTCGTTTTACTTATTTTTGAGATTGTCATTTACTTACATTTCTTCCTTCCCTTCCCCCCAAGCCCTCCAACCTACCCTTCTCATCTTCAAATCCAGGGCCTCCTTTTTTGTCAATTCTTATTTCTTGCATACATGTATTTGTAAGGACGTCTACATACATATATTCCTAAATGTAGTCTGTTGAGTCCATATACTGTTATCTGTATGTGTGTTTTCAGGGCTGGCCGCTTGGCACTGACACCCAATGGTGAGCCCTCCCCTGGGGAGGACCCCTCTCCCGCTCCCAGCTCTGCTCTTGTCTGTAGTTCTTTGTGCGGAGCTGAGGCTTCCGGGGCTTCCTCCATCCAGTTTTGCACATTCGTTGGTGTGGTCCTTGCTCAGCTCACATCTGGGCAGGCAGTCGTGGTGGTGACTTCATGGCTGTAGCTCCTGATGTGAGCAGGAGACACAATCTCACGGCAAACTTGCTGGTGCTCTGGCTCTTATGACCTTTCTGTCCTTCCTCAGTTTCCCCCCAGCATCTTTGGTGTATAGGGAAATGATCTTCAGGCTGGTATGTCTGACTTCACTTTACATCAGTTTTATTGTGGCTGGGGTCTGGTGGCCTCTGCACACACCCTTTCACGTGGCAGCTTGTGGTGATGTTCTCTCTTCTCCACCCCTCCCTCTCAAGCAGGGTTTCATGTAGCCTAGGCTGGCCTTGAACTCACTGTGTAGTTGAGAATGACTCTGAACTCCTGATCCTCCTGCCTCTACCTCCTGTGTGCTGGGATTACAAGCATGCACTACTACACTTGTTTTATGCTGTGCTGCGGATGGGACTCAGGGCTGTGCTCATCCTAAGCAAGTAGTTTATCAACTGAGCAAACCCAAGAAAAGCCCACAGGGAACCCATAGCAAGCCCACAGAGAGCAAACAGCGAGCCCACGGCGAACCCACGGAGAGCCCACAGTGAGCCCAAGGAGAGCCCACGGAGAGCCCACAGAGAGCCCACAGTGAGCCCAAGGAGAGCCCACAGTGAGCCCACGGAGAGCCCACAGAGAGCCCACAGTGAGCCCACGGAGAGTCCACGGAGAGCCCACGGAGAGTCCACGGAGAGCCCACGGAGAGTCCACGGAGAGTCCACGGAGAGCCCACGGAGAGTCCACGGTGAGCCCACGGAGAGCCCACGGTGAGCCCACAGTGAACCCGGTGAGCCCACATCCTGATGGTCTCTTCAAGTGGGACTCTCCGAAGCTGAGGCTCGGCAGGTCAGACTGTGATGGAAGGCTCAGTCCACGCCTTAGCCCAAGCATCAGTTTCTAATGAGCTGTCCAGAACCTGCCACTCACCATCAAGATGGAAACGCTCTCACATTACCTGCAGTTCACTCAGCTTCTGTGGGAGAGTCGCCACACTTTGACATTCATAAGTCAAATCAACAGAGAGGAAGTCAACCGAGTCCTAGAAATAAGGAAATTCCACCATTAGGAACAAGCCCTCCTCAGCAGCGTGCTGTGATTCTCCCCGTGACTAACCCAATCTGGGGATTCCCCAGGAGAAAGCTGGGGATGTGTGTGCACGTGACTACGGCAGGAGCGTGAGTGTGTGGTTAACTAGTAAGTGTGAAAATGGGCGTGCCGGGTGTGGGGTGCCAACAAGTGGGGGAGCACTAGGGAGGGAATCGGAGTCTGGAGCTTCCCCCAGGGAGCGCTCCCCTTGACCTTGGTGATATGTGGGGACCCTCTTGGGCCTGGCTGGACCAGTTCGACTAGCAGAAAACACAAGCTACACAGTCCTGACCAGCCTTGCTCTCTAACCACCCTCTGGCCAAGGGATCCAGCTCTTCTGAGCATGGAGCTCAGTGGGCAGAAGGCTTGCTGAGCGGGTGCAAGGCCCTGGGTCTGTCAGCAGCAGCACATCAACAGGCCGTGGCGGTACCTGTCTGTCCAGCACTCTCATCCTGGGCTGCCTCACGAGTTCAAGGCCAGCTTGGGCAACATGAAATCTTGTCTTGAAGAAGAGGAGGAGGAGGAGGAGGAGGAGGAGGAGGAGGAGGAAGAGAATAGTGAGAAGGCCTAGCAGATATAGGTGTCTGCCATCAACTCTGAGGACATGAGTTCACACACACACACACACACACACACACACACACACACACACACACACCACACCACACACAAAACAAAAACGTAATGAATGTTTTAAAAAGCAAAGAAAAAGGAAGGCCAGGTGGTTTAATCCTAACACTTGGGAGAGACAGAAGAGGAAGTATCTGAGTTTGAGGCCAGCCTGGTCTACCCAGCAAGTTTCTGGACAGCCAGGGCTATTCAGAGAAACCCTGTTTTGAAGAATAAAAATAAAAAAATAAAAGAAAGGAAGGGGCTGGGTAAGAGCTGGTTCAGGAAGTTCTCTCCGTGAGCCGATCTCCAGGACCCACCTAAAACCCAGGAGTGTGTCTTTTTTGTTTTGATGTTGCTGTTTGCTGTGCCGTCTTTGGCTGGCCCAGAATTCATTATGTAGGCTAGGTTGGCCTTGAACTCCTAGAGATCAGCCTGCATCTGCCTTCCAAGTAGTGGGACTAACACACACACACACACACACACACACACACACACACACACACACACACACCTGACTCCCCATGCCTGACTGGCCACTCTATTTCTCTCTTGGCTGGGATCTCACCAGCTCATCACAGCCCTTGTCTCCCACAGGTCGGCTGTTTCACAGGCCAGGCACCAGCTGGGAGCCAAGTGTCTCATAGGCCTGACCCCTAAGCCCTCACTGGCTCCCCAATGCTTTCCTAATCAAGTGATCCTCAGAGTTCACCAGAGTCCAGGTCTGACAGCAAAGAAACTTGAAAAACAGCTACAATAAGGTTCTGGAAAAACAAGTCTCTTGCTGACTAGATGCCATCTAAATTAATTTACAATGAGTGATAATTGCTATCAAGAGTCCAAAGGGCTGATTCTAAAAATGCTTGTCTAGCAACAGCCTTTGAACTGGTATCTCACCCAACACATAACCCAGGAGAGTGTGCGGGTTCCCTCTGGGAAGTGCTGTAACATGAATTGCTACATGGTCTTATTAATTAAAAAAAAAAGAGCTAGATATTGGGGTGAAAGCTGGAAGATCAGAGAAACAGAACAAGCCACAGTCAACCTCATCTTTCCAACTCCTCAGCTGATCCTGTTTCCACAAATCCTCAGACTGAAAGCCTCTGGGTTCTCACCCCTGAGGGTCTCAGTTGAACTGCCTAAAAAACCTCTAGTTCTGGTCCTCACGCCTTATATACCTTTCTGCTTCCTTCATCACTTCCTGGGATTGAAGGTGTGTGTTCTTCCCAAGCAAAGACATGAGATCTCAAGTGCAGGGATTAAAGGTGTGTGCTAACAGCCTGACTCTGTTTCCAGTGTGGCCTTGAACTCACAGAGATCCAGACAGATCTCTGCCTCCCGAGTGCTAGGATTACAGGTGTGTGCCACCACTGTCTGGCCTCTATGTCTAATCTAGTGGCTGGCTCTGTTCTCTGATCTCCAGATTTGTGTTAGACCACAAATAAAATATCACCACAAAGTGCAAACCCCCAGGGCCTTCCAATGGGCCTGCGCAGTGTGTGCCTCTCTTTCTGACTCTGGACTCCCTGTTTTGCCAGAAGCTCAAGAGTTCAAGGTCAGCCTGGGCTACTTAGGGAAGCCTTGTTCTAAAACAAAACAAAAAACAAGTTACAATTTAAAAAAGCAAGAGAGGGCTGGAGAGATGGCTCAGAGGTTAAGAGCACTGACTGCTCTTCCAGAGGTCCTGAGTTCAATTCCCAGCAACCACATGGTGGCTCACAACCATCTGTAGTGAGATCTGGCACCCCCTTCTGGCCTGCAGATATGCAGGCAGAACACTGTATACATAATAAATAAATAAATAAATCTTAAAAAAAAAAAGAAGTGTATTTTATTTATAAGGTTAATTTATTTTTATTTTCTGTGTAGCATGTGCAAGTACCCAAGGAAGGCAGAAGAGGACTTTGGCTCTCCTGGAACTGGAGGTTACAGATGGTTGTGAGCCACCATGCAGGTGCAGGGAACTGAACCTGGATCCTCCAGAAGAACAGCTAGTGCTTTTAACCACTGGGTCATCTCTCCAACCCCCAGAAGTATATTTTTTTTTCAGTTATCTCTTAATGTGTTTTTTTCCATGTGTGGGCATGTGTAGACCATGTGGGTTCCAGAAGTAATTTGTTTTGTTTTGTTTGAGACAGAGTCTCACTAGGTATCTCTGGTTGGCCTGCAACTCACTCTGTAGACCAGGCTGGCCTCAAATTCACAGAGATCCACCTGTTTCTGCCTCTTGAGTGCTGGGATTAAAGGCGTGCGGCACCCTGCCTGTCTGAACTCTGGTTAAGAGCTAAAACACAACAAACCAAGAGCCAGGTCTGTTTCCTTTGAAGGCAGCTAGAGATCTGCGAATGGATTATTCTGTTTGGAAGAATTCACAGAGATGTCGGACCGGGGCAGGGTTTGCAGCCCCGCTCACCAGCTTTCCGCACAGCACTGCCAGGGGCCACATGCCTATAATCGGGTTGTAGCACGCAGGAGGTGCAGGCAGGAGGGTCAGAGGTTCAAGTTCATCTTCTGCTATAGACTGAGTTCTAGACTAGTCTGACATACATAGGACCCGATCTCAAAAATGTAAAAATAATAATAAAAAGAAACAAATTAAAAGCCTCACTTTTAAGAAATCGCAATTTGTCCAGGTATGGTGGCGCACACCTTTAATACCAGCACCTTGGGAAGCAGAGGCAGGTGGATCTGTGAGTTCGAGGCTTCCTGACCTACAGAGTGAGACTGAGAGAATGCATGACCATCTTACCTTGTGGGCACCCCCATTCTGGCCTAAACAGCACCCCTTCTCTGTGATTACATTACAGCCTAAGGCCCACCACCACCCCTGCCCTCCTCCTGTAACTGACAGTTCCAATTCCCCAAAGTCCAAACCACGAAGTCAACACAAGTAGCGTTTCTGTATGTCCTAGATTAACAATTAACAACCCTGGCCAAGCCCAGCCTCTGCCCTCTGACCAGCCCTCCTCCCCGTCCCTGATAAAAAGCCTAGCCAGTGAGAGAAGTCAGTCTCTGCTCTGATGACAGCCCGTCTCTGGTTGACCCAGAAATAAACCTGTCCCACTGCCCTTGAGCGGCCTCCTGCCCTTTTCTTCTTACAGAGACCTTATCTCAAAATAAATAAAGACAATCACAGTTCTCCCTGGGCCTTCCAGATGCGCGTCTACCTTGGTGAGTGCCACCGAGGATGGGGCTAGCAGAAGCTCGGGGATATCTTCAGCCTTCAGGACCACGGAGATTCTTCCTCCTGGAACCAAACAGAGGAAGGAACAGTAGCTGAGGGAGGGCTAAGCTTCTGAAGGGATAGATCACTACCACGACTTGTCTTTAGCCAATTGACAGACTGTAAAAAACAAAATAACTAAAAAAAAATATAGCGTCTTTCTAAGAGACTATTTTGGTTTTTATTCGGATTTGTTTTTGAGACAGGGTCTCACTGTGTGACCCTGGCTATCCTGGAAGTCAGAGTCTGTAGATCAGGCTGGCCTTGAACTCACAGAGGTCTGCCTGTCTCTGCCTCCTGAGTGCTTGGACTAAATTTGTATGTCACCATGCCTGGTTAAGAGACTGTTTTGGAGATCCGCCTGGATCTCTGTGAGTTCAAAGCCACTCTGGAAACAGCCAGGCATGGTGACACACACCCGTAATCTCAGGAAGTGATGGCAGGAAGCAGAATGGTATATAAGGTGTGAGGACCAGAAACTAAGTTTGTTAAGCTTTTAGGCTTTGAGCAGCAGTTCAGCTGAGATCCATTCGGATGAGGACTCAGAGGCTTCCAGTCCGAGGAAACAGGTTCAGCTGAGGAACTGGTAAGGTGAGGTTGGAGGTGGCTTGTTCTGTTTCTCCGATCTTTCGGAATTCACCACCCCCAAAAAAGAGAGAGTGTTTTGTCCGAATCAAGACCTACATACAGAGCACTTGGAAGAGTCAGAATAAGAAGAATTATTCTAAGGTGACAAGGGAACTGTGGTGGGGATTCTGCCACTCGGTCCAACGACCCACTGAAGGCAGTGCTTGTTTTGTTTTTGTTTTTTTGTTTTGGGCCTTATAAGCATGGTCTTCTCTGAAGATACATGACCTCTTAAAAACTGTGGAGCAAGGGCCACGCCCTCTCTCTGGGGCTGTGGGAGCAGCAGTGAGCAGCAGAGAAGCATGGCTTGTGGATGGTTCCATCACCCTTGGTCAGAACGGCAGGACAGCAGCAGCGGCGTCTCAGCTCTGTTCTGGGTCATGAGTCTACCTTAATGTTTTCCTTCCTTAACAGAGCTTACCTGGCCCCATACTCCCGTGTCCCACTTTAGAGAACCCCTTTCTAAATTCTAGTTAAAAGCAAGGTGCTCTGGGCTGAGGATGTAGCTCAGTCGGTAGCGAGCTTGCACCAGCTCAGGGATTGATATCAGCACAGCCTGAATCAGGTGTGGTGGTGCATGCCTGTGATCCCAGCACTTGAGAAGTAGAAGCAAGGAGGATCAGAAACTTGAGGTCATCCTGGCTCTATCCCAGCTGGATTTCTGGCCGATCGGGACCAGAGCTCCCACCTAACACAAAACAAAACCCAAAGTTTTGGTGCCCTCAGGAAACTGCTGGGTTTTTTCCCTCATTGTAGCTCCTGCGCCTTGATGGGGAAACAAAGGAAATACAAAGCTAGTTCTGCTTAGCGCTTACGCAGCATGGTGATGATTCTCAAGCTTTCGTATACACTAGAACTGCCTGGAGAACAAGTTTAAGAAAAAGAAAGCTGCCGGGCGGTGGTGGTGCACGCCTTTAATCCCAGCACTCGGGAGGCAGAGGCAGGTGGATCTCTGTGAGTTCGAGGCCAGCCTGGGCTACCAAGTGAGT